CCTCATTTACCAAGACTTAATGAGTAAGTTTTAAACTGCTCTGATAAGGAATTTGGCAGACTACTAAAACAGACTTGATAGTGAAAACTTAGTTTGTGGGCAGTTTTTAGACTTTCTCCTAGAAAATCTAAATCATCATAGCCGTTTTTAAAATTTAAATAGGATCCACAACAAAACACCTCACCCAACATCATTATTTCTCATAGAAGTAATAATTACCAGTTTAAAAGCTGGCAAGTCATCAAGCCAGGAACTCTGCAGATGAGAGCTAAAGATGATCTTTCAAAGATTTAGCCAAGAAAATCATGGTTTTTAGAAAAGTAACTTCAAATGCATGTGATTTATTAACTGAAATACTCCTTCAACCCAAAACCCTTCTTAAAAGATTTGTTTTCTGCTATTCTTTAAAATTGTTCTGGACTTCATCAATAGGCCCAGCTGTTAAATTGGGAGCAGTGGCAACAATCCCTGGGCAACAACTTGCTTTCCGCAGCCACCAGAGAAAGCTGATGAAGCCAAGCCCCGCTTCAAACCCACTGCAAAGCCTGACAGAAAAAAAATAAATATACCACATTCATCTTAAAGAAAAACAAAATTCTCCCGCACGATGGATCCTGCTTGCTAAAAGAAGCCAATAACTCTGAACTAGCGTTACAGATTTCTGCAAACGAGAAGCCACTGCATAAGTCAAGTGTGCATCGGGAAAACGGCTCTGCGTCCTGGAGAGCTCAGGCCACTGGGAAACAGACTGACAGACTGATAGTGGCCAGACTTCAAGAACTAAGCGTAGCTGGACACAAGCCTGTGGGGTCAATGTGCAACTTCACCTCCCCGACATAAGCAATTGTAAGTTACAGGCGCACCTCTGAACCAAACTGTCTCTTACAGTAGTGGTTTTTGTGGGTCTCAGAAAGTATCAACCGAACTTTATCACAATGTTGAAGATTATCTCTAAATCCCTGAGCTCTGTCTGTGCTTCCAAAATCAAGACTTTCTTCTGTGCCAGCCCCTGGGGGCAGGTGACGCTACCAGACTAACTTGGGGCAAACCACCCCAAACGTGTGAGAGACTCTGTCCTTTCCAGCAACGACCAAATAGGGAGCTTGCAGCGGAACTTTGCCTGTTCTGGGTCCGTGACCATTAATAAAAATCCAAAGCTCTAGGTTATGGTCTCCCAGTTCTCATTACTCTTTTCAGCATACTACTGCCTCCCCCACCCCAGGGTTTTTAGTTTCCTTCTTTCTTTCTTTTTTTTTTTTTTTAAAGACAGGGTCTTGCTATGTCGTTCACACTGGCCTTGAATTTACTAGGTAGCCCAGGCTGTCCTGAAAATTGCAGCAATCTTCCTGCCTCAGCCTCCCACGCACTTAGGATTACAGGAGTGTGCCACCATGTCCAGCTCCCCTCTTTTTAAAACATGATTTTAAAAAACATTTTAAATGTATTTTAACTTCAAATTTCAAAATCAACTTTGGATTATAATTTATAGATTGACTCTTAAGGGCAGAAATCCATGCCCACAGACAAGTTGTTCACCAAACCCTGAAGTTTCAGTTTAATTTAATTAAGTGAAAAGCTTTTCATGAAAAACAATCTATCCCACTAGTGGAAAATATTTAAAGTTACTATAGAAATGTACCTCTTAAACAACTTTACTGATGCCAAAATTAACTCCAAAATTTGAAAGAAAAGAACACCATGACGTTCAATAATTCTGACGCCCTTTCAGCTACAAATGTTCTTGTAAAATTTATTTTTCCCCAAGTGAACAGTCAGGATAAACCTAAGAAATCAGGCCGGCTTTATGTTCCCTTTCCCTCTGTCCGAAGACTTCAATTTCCACCTTTTATGGAAAGGAAATAAACAACTCGCTTCCTGTTCAATCACTAGCTTACAGCCGGGCTTTTACACATCACAGAACCCAACCCGCCTCCTCCTTTGCTTCTCTCAATGTCTCTTATCTTAATTTAAACTTGTTGAAATACGAGACCATTTTATCACCCTAATGTTTTCCTATGAAATGTACTTCTTTCAACATTAAGAAAGCAAGAAGCGTCAAGCTGTCCAGTTATTTCTTATTCCTAAAATATCCAAACTAAATTATTTACGTAACAGAGGATCCTTGCTAAACTTGTAAAAGATTTACGTTTAAAGGCAACAGCTCCAGACTTTGTTCTCACCGAGTATGCGCCTAGAAAGGGGGCTCTCACGGCCACCCCTTTCTGTTCTAATGACAGTAAAACGTAAAATGGCAATCAGTGAAAAGAATTAACCTTTCTTAAAAGCTAAATATTACTTTAACCTTGTATTTTCCTTTAAAGATGGGACGCCTTAGCAAAACCCAAGTGGACGGGTTCTTTTGTGCTCGGGTGAACAGCGGGCTCAGCCGGGAGGAGCCTGGCTGCCGCACAGGGCTGTGGCGCGCCGGGAGAGCGGGCTCCACGGTGACACCCGAGGAAAGGCCTACGCACGTCTGGGCTCCGCATTCCTCGAGAACAATTCATGGCAATAACCGACTTCGCAGAGGAGCCACATGAAAGCGAGGGCCAATGAATGAGGGTCATCTGCTCTTTATCACAAGGGTAAACCTCATCCTGGCCAGTTTCTAACCTTTTAACCCTGTGAATTCCTAATTTACACATGAATAATGGAATTCTTGCCTAGGGTACAACTTTCAGCTTTTAGTTCCTAAGTTTAGAGTCCAAGACTTGATTGCCTGGGTGTTAAAAACCTACAGCTTTCAGATTAAAGTTTTAGATTTCAGGTACTGTGCAGTTACATCCTGAACCAAAAGAGATGCTTGCTTGCATCTCTAAAAAATAAAAGAACATATTTAGCCTACTGTTATCCACGACTAGGAGAGCAAGCTTTTAAAAACCCCACACCAGAATGTCCACTTAACGCCTGTTCTCCTGTTTATGCCAGATAACATCTCTACTCCAAGACCGGAAAAAGAACCAGGAGGCTCCCCCAAAGGGCACAGCTTCTCAGCTCTGAGCAGCTGTGTCAGTCCAGAATCTCAGAAGCTTCGTATTTTTTTTTTAAAAAACCCAAACCCTCTATGCATTTCTTACTTTAAATCAGTAATACTGACTGGGTTTTCCTAGCACAAGACCTCTCAGGGCTAAAGAAAATGTGGGCATTAGTATTTAATAGCAAAGCAATGTTCCAGAGTTTCACTGGAAAGTATGAAAACCACTTCACCACGACACACTTCAAAATGACTTCCATCTAATCAAGCATTTATCGTTAAGCTTTCATAAACACAAAAATCCAAGAATTTTTTTAAAGCTAGTAGTTTTGTGTGTGCGTGCGTGTGTGCTGGGTCTTGTGCATGCTAAACACATATTGTCACTAAGCTACCAGGCTGGCTTAGTAAACCTATCACACACCTTTCAGGCTTTATGTATGAAAATCTGAAAGCTCTGTGTGCTTTCCAAAGTGTTTCAGCAAGCCTAAGGATTCTTCTCGGGAGGTCCCGGAAACAACATGTGCCGTGACAAATGCTTCATCTTTTCAAGGCCTGCCCATCCCATCCCCCTCCCGGCCTGCCCGCAGCCCCTCCCCCCAGGGGCCTCGAAGTTACAGCCCAGCAGAAAACACCAGGCTCCCCCAGTCTGGAAAAGTGGAAGGGAAAGCTGGAACCCTGAAAAGCAACTTCACACTGGACAAAAATTAAATGAACAGAACCTAAAAGATTAAAGGCACACTGTCCTGAAAAGAGTTCTGGGCAGGAAAGCCATTACTGAATGGAAAAAGTGATTACCAGCTGATAATTACAGCAACAAGAAAGAAGAAACAGAAAGCTTTCCTAGACATCCTCTCCAGTTTATGTATTCCTTGGCAGGGATGGGGGTGGGGCTACATTTGGCAATTTCTCTGAGATCTTTGCTTGCAATTGATCTTCTCCAATTAATCATTATTGTACAAATGAAACAAATTACTAACAGGGTGGCATAATTATGGCTGTGAACTGTTACAATAAAGTCACTGGGGAGATTTCCGCCAATAGCCCAAGTTTCAGTTGTACACATCTTGAAGAATCGATTCCTTAAAGATTATGCCTTTTCATTTCAAGTACTCCCTTTTCCGTTGTTCATGTGTCGATCAACTTGCAGGCATAGTGCAAAATCTACGTCTTGTGAATTAACAAAAGCATGCAGTGACGATGCCTAGAAAGCCATGTGAGATAGTTTGTTTGGTCTCAACATCTAAGCAACCTGCCGGAGTCCTGGGTGCAGTGTGACCACCTGAGAGAGGCACCCTCAGTGGAAGCCAGCAGCTCCTCACCGGCCCCCACCCAGCCCCCACTCGCAGTGCCTGGACTGGTTGTTAGCACAAAGGGAATCGGTGAACAGCAAACTTCATGACAAGTCGGGGAAGATGAGCAGATCTGGTTTAAGACCTTGGGCATAATATGGAGATGGCCTTAATCCCATGCTCTCCTTCTCCCAGCAGGAAAAGGCTGGACAGTGGGTGACCAAGGCCCTCTCTCACAATCAGAAAGCAACCTGGGTGATCTAAAAGCAGCCAGGGAAACGGGACGCTGGGCTCTGAGAAAGACTCACGCCCAGGGTTGTCTACAAAGGATTTACATGGGATTGCTTTCATGACTGATTTCCAAAGATGATGTGTTAGCCAAACCTCTTGCTAAGGTGTGACCGGAACTTTATGTGAAGCCACTCCTATAGGTTTTGTTTTGCTTGATTTTGCAAACTCTATTTGACCTGTGTCTCATCTCACTTTATGTATGTAGTCCTCTCTGCATGCCTCCATCAATTACTATTCCAGGAAAATTCTGAATGTGTGTGATTTTACGGTTATGCTCACATCAAGAAATCAGCAAATGGGGGCTGGGGATTTAGCTCAGCAGCAAAAGCGCCTGCCTGGCAAGCGCAAGGTCGTGAGTTCGGTTCCCAGTACCGGAGAAAAACCAAAAAAAAAAAGAAATCACCAAATGTTGCGATGGAAAATGTGGAGACCAACACCACCACACTTACCGGATAAGGTGAGATGTGCTTTCTGACTCAGGATGGCTCCATATCTGTTCACTGCCAAGCACTGATAAAATCCTTCATCAGACTGGGCCCGCCTGCCTTCCACCTCGCTGATGTATAAAGAGCCGTTAGAAAGAACCTGGATCCGTTTATTTTCAGACACTTTTGCTCCATTTTTCAACCATGTGACCTTAATGGGAACTTCGCCATGAGCCTGGCAGTCTAAGAAGACCGGGTCCTTTCTTGTGACAGTTACATCCTGCGGTTCTCTTATAAAAAACAGTTCACTGAAACACCACACACCTACAAGAAGAAAAGGAGAAAGGTATGTCCACAATTACAGGTGTAAAATTATTTCATGCACAAATGCAAAACACATCCAGGGTGAAGGACAGTGTCTTACCATCTGTACTAGTTAACTTACAAAAGTTTCAGCAAGCCTTTTCAACAAGGTAGAGAAGTCACTTTTTACCACATTCTCATGAAAGGTAGAGTTTAAACAACTTCTATCCCTTGTAAGAATTCTCAAGTTCCTTGCTAATTTCAAAATCTTCAGGAAAACTCATGAGCACAAGCTGTTTGCTTCTTTTACAAGCTTGTCAAAAAGATCTTGGACAGAGTAAGTCGTAAAAGTCTAATTTTACAAGAAATCATTAGCAAAACTCCAACTCCGTGAACAAGCAAGTTCCTTCCTCCTGCCTTGAAGTGTTTCTGGAACCCCTGGCCCCTACTTCTTTAGAAAGTGTGTTATCTTTCGTGACAAATTATAAGTTTGCATTTTTCTATCTGCCCTTTTACAGCTGGGGTTCTGGCTCCTCGCCTTGAAAGAACTCCATTTACTTAATTTCTACAGGGCCAGCTAGGTATTTAAAGGGCAAACAATAGACTTTGAAAAGTTGATAACTCTTGCTGCTTGTACTCAGTAGGCGATCAGGGCCATTGGATTAGGAAACTTTTATTTCACTTTTTAAGAACTATCAATTGTTGGAAAAAAATGCGTGACTAATCGGTCCTTACTGTCTAATAGGGATAGGAGATTGCTTAATCAACCAATACACATTTTTATCAGAACAGAGGAAATGCTTTAACCCAAACACATACATGGCCCTGGCCCCTGCCAGAATAAAGGGCCCCAGGACAACTAACGCAGGGTTCGGTCCTGCGCTCGGAGCAGAGCGGAAGCCGTGCCTCGACGGGCCGTGGAGCGCAGGACTGGGGTTCTCCTCCGGCCGTCCTGCACCCACGACTACAAATCCCAGAAGCAGCTTCGTCTCGGATCCTCGGACCCTCGACGCGAGCCGCAGCACCTGACTGCGGTCCTCCCTGCCGGCCGGCGGCACGGGCGACGCGCAGACACGCGGGAGCCAGGGCGAGACCGGGCTCCTCCGAGGTTGTGCGCGCCCCGGCCCCTCGGCC